GTGTGCGTGTGTACTGTGTGTTTGTGTGTGTGCTTTGCGTAATGTTTGTTTGATAAGCGTATGTTTTAGGTGTTTTCTGTGAGTGCTTGAGAGTGCGTGTTTGTGAGTCTGTTCGTGGTCGGGCCTGGGTGAGCGTCTAGCGGACACGGGTGCATCCCTTGGCGTGTGCGTGTGGGGAGCGTCTGTGTGAGTGTGTTTGAGTCTGATAGTAGGCGGGGCCTGGCGAATGGCTGGCGGACCCGGGTGCATCTTTTGCGTGCATTTCGGCGAGCGTCTGTGTGAGTGTGTGTAAGCGGGTCTGAATGTGTGGCTGGAGGAGCCAGGCGTCCCCTTTGATGGGATATGGACGTCATGGCCAAAGCCCTGTTTTCAAATCTATGAATACTTTTTATTTTCTCTTGATCACGTGACTAACATCCCATGTGTGCGTGTGAGCGCGTGTATGTGTGTATGTGCATTCGTGTGTGTGTGTATGTGCGAGCGCACACCTTCGTGAGTGTGTTTGTATGTTGGTTACGTGAAAATATCACGTGATTTTCGCGCCATTTCCCATGACATTATCACGTGATCACGCTGTCACGTGACAATATCACGTGATTTTCCACGCCTCTTTAGGCGTGGCTATGGAAAAAAAACTATAAAAGGGCGAAGACAGGTCAAGGTAATCACTTGCCAGCTTGAACCTCTGATCTTTGCATCATGTCACGCCAGCTTTCCGTTCGCCGTTCCCGGAGGCCTCGGTCTGCCCCTGCCATCCGCTCCCTCAGTTTTGAGGAAGAGGAGGCGGTGGATGACCCCAGGCCTTCGAGTTCCAGGGGTGTTCCTCGCCTGAGGGATGCACCTGACCCTCTCCTTTACACGTTTCGCCATTCCTCTGACGAGGAATGTGGGGACTCGGAAGAGGAGTACACGCCGCCAGCGAAACATCGCAGGACCAAGGATCATTCCGGTGAGTTTTCTCCATCCTTTGATTTGAAAAAAGTACAACCTGGCTTCTTTGGCATACTGACACATTTTTACGTAGCTTTATGGAAAACTTATGTGTTTTTTCGAATTCTTCCACAGATCCTCACTTCGGCGATGATTCCGACTGGAGGGCAGCGACTCGGAGGACGAGTCCGAGCTCTCCGACTGTGAGTCAGAGGAAGACTTCGTGCCGCTGGACGACACGTCGTTGGACTCTGACGAGAATCTGGCCGAGTATGTCAGGCGCCGCAGGGCTCGTACCGCCCCCGGTATCTCCTCCTTTGTTTGGAGGAAGAGGGAGAACGAGCCACGGCGCTTCGACTTTACCGCAGCTCCTGGGGTCAAGGTTCCTGACCTGGATGCTGAATCCACACCTGAAGAGGTCTTCAGGCAGTTCCTGACGCAGGAACTGTTAGAAAAGATCGTGCAGGAGACGAATCGGTAAGCACATCATCTAATATTACTTGTTTGTTGGTTTGAAGATATCTGTTTACAATTTCTCATGCTCTGGCTCTTGCAAACACGATTTTTACAATGCCAATTCTCCTTGTCCTGCAGATATGTTGCGCAGAATCCACGGACGCCTTCTGCCCACATGAAGGGATGGGAGGACACGACCGTGAAGGAGGTTCGTACTTATCTTGGGCTGCGGTTCTTGATGGGGCTACAGTCCAAGAGGCAAATGCGAGACTTCTGGTCTCGCGACCCTCTGATGTCGTCGGCGATTTTCCCGATCAGCTGACAGCAGCACTACACTTCGCAGACAACCAGGCCGAGCGTCAAGCAGATGATCGACTCTGGAAGCTGAGGCCTGTCGTAGATGTGCTCGACAGGCAATTTAGAGAAGTTTTTGTGCCAAACAAGGTCGTCTCCATTGACGAGAGCCTTTGGGCCTTCAAGGGGCGCCACCAGGCTCTGCAGTTCGTGCCCAACAAGAGAGCACGCAGGGGAATAAAGGTATACAAGCTCTGCTCGAGTTTGGGGCCAGAGGCCGGCTACACCACCGCTTTTCGTATCTACATGGGGAAGGATCGCGGGGACGTCCCCGCGAGCATGAAGGCGGTGATAGACCTGCTGGAGAGAGTGGACCTCATGGACAAGGGGTACGAAGTACATACCGACAACTGGTACTCGTCCCCTAGTCTGTTCCACCACCTACAAAAAAGAAAAACAAGCGCTGTCGGTACGGTCAGAAGCAACAGGAAGCAGATGCCAACAGACCTGCAGGCAAAAGGACGAGGAAGTGTAGACTTCCGAAGTACAGACTCGGGTATGCTCGCCCTTCAGTGGCTGGACAAGAGGCCAGTCACCATGCTCTCCACGGTGCACACGAGCGAGATGGTAGCTCTTCCTCCCAACCGCCAAGGAATCCAACGAATAAAGCCAAAGGTTGTAACTGACTACAACAACGGCATGAAGGGAGTTGACTTCAGTGACCAGCTTTCAGGCTCCTACAAGTCCACGAGAAAAAACATCAAATGGTACAAAAAAAATATTTTTCAACCTTTTGGACATGGCTGTGGTCAACTCCCTG